CTGGACCATCTTGTTTCCTGCACAGCACACAGGTCTATACGTCTGCGCTCCAGTGCCTCTGCCAGCTCACATGAGCGCCCCGTCAACGTTCCAACATTCAACGTTTCGGATCTTTTCCATGCTTGCATGACTTTTGAACTAGCCTGGTTGCCCCGATGCCGTCCTTGCATCAGGGACCCTCGCATACTTTCCACACTCGCCGGGCCATACGAGTGCGCGTCGGCTCCCGCGGACGCCGTAGCATTGATTCGGAATTCATATGGCATATTGAACATTGGTGATGTGACTTGGGTGTTCGTAGGCCGGCCCGTCACGAAGGCCTGTCACCTGCGTCGAATGTCTGCAGTCAGCTTAGCTCGTATAGACGAGCAGTTTCCAGTGGTACCACGTGGAGGAGCAGACTTTACCACCAGGTATAGGAAATACCTAACATCCGAAAATTCAGTTTCCGATTGCACGCTTGGTTCTTGTCTAGGAGTGGCGTTTTCCCTAGCGTCATCCGCCGCTGAAGTTATATCATTGAGTTAATGGTTAGTTACCCAAGGCAGAGGACCCCTACAGATGGTTAAAAGCTGGCTCTTTCGTCGATTTCTTTTATTCTTCTAGCAAAATTCCGACTGGAGAACTTCCTACCTATCCTAACGATTGCCTGTTCCCTTCAGTTTAGCGTTAGGTAAGATCGTAGTTTTTATTCGATTTAGTATAACTTAAGTGTTGTAAAAGCGCACCTGTGCGTGCATAAATAGATAAATTTCCGTTGCGTGCCCATAAATATGATAAATAAATAATTAACGCTAATATTATGGCAACGCTTTCATTAAATCGTTGGTTAATAGCAGCACAGTGCCAGCAGAGCATGTCGCATCAACAACACCTGTGGAATAACACTTAATGAGCAGCGAACAAGTTAATACACATCTTCAGTCAGCTAAGGATAAATTAGTGTATCCCAACATTCCGTTTCTTTTCCCTGCCGCTTCAACATTGCAAAAGTCATGTACTATTCATATGTAGCTTGTTATTTCTCTTGGTCCAATATTCGATTTGAACGTCTGTCCAAACTGAGCATTTTCGGAAGTCCATTTTGCAGCTTTGAAGAGTTTTTACCCAGTGTTCTACAAACGCCTGGGAGAGATTGTTACTAATGATTGCTCGGCCTGTACATAAAACGAGAAGCGATGCAGCCACTCAGTACTGAAAAAGCTCAGAAGATTTTCTCACGCTGCTAGAAGATCGCTTGATGTGAAATTGAGAAGCACATGATTACTCTCTGTTTCTTGCTAATTATCAGAAAAGGCAATGGATTAGCCAGGGTTGCAAGATGAATCCTAGTTTATGCATTTCCGGATGGTAATTGCAAATCTGACCTTCAAATTTGCTGAACGATTCTGTGAACAAAATTATTAGGCCTTTTCCTGTCAATTATATGAAGCTCTGAAGTTTTCAGTTGCGCGTGTATAAAAGCGTGTAGCAGCGCTGTCGTGCAGCGATGGAGCAGCCTGCGTGGTTGGGCGCTTTACAGAGACACCATGGTTGGGGATCCCTTCCTGCATGTAGGGTATGTTATTCGTGTTCTGTGAGGAACTATTTTCAGATGCGAATTTCTAGGAAACTCTGAGGTATTCACCTAAGTTTGAAAAAGTCGACGATCATGAATGCATAGTGGCTGCTACTGGTCCGAAGGCTGTCCAGTCATCGCTAGCGTTTTGGGATGGAATCAACTACTAGTTGTGATGGAGAGAAATGATAACAGTGAGTCAGTTGGCTGGAAACAAGAACACGAATTCCCAAGGAGGAGCATATACGCTCTAGTTCGCTGCGGACGGCTGGGCGTGTCAGGCAGTATGAGTGTGCACGCCGTCAAAGCCGTTCTCTGCCTTCTTGTTGAAGCGCGCATGCGACAAAAAGTGGTAGAAAACGAGTAATACGAACGATATGATACAGTCATATCATTTGCTCGCTTTAACAACTGGTGGAGAACGGGTTTGGCACCGCGCCAAACTCATCCCGCCTGACACGCCCAACCGTCCGCAGCGAACTACACTAGAAGATAAGTGGAATGAGAGGATTAGTGAGACCCTCGCCTTTTCTCTCGGAAGTAAGACAATGTAATTTGAGAGTGATGCGGATGCACAACCTAGAAAATGTTTTCTTTCCAAAAACACGGTTGAATACTGACGTCAACGAAGAGATTGAGCTTCTATAATACTATCTCAGGTTAGTCCTTGGACTAGCTCGGACAATCCTGGCATCATTTCATCCATGGTTGCCCGACATTTTCGAAGTCAGGTTGAACCTTCAGATTTGGCTAAAAACATGTCCTTACAACAGTAGTCTAAGCCGAATATCACACTGGTTCTGCCTAAAGCAAAGGCGAGCAATAGAAGCGCCATCATGCCCAAGCCTTGCTCCTGGCTACAAGTTGTTCAAACTTGTGAGTAGCTGATCGCAATCCTTCTTATACACAAGTATAGACCAGCTTTGTCATATGACGTGAAATATCTTTTCAGCCACAGTTTTGCAGAAAATAAAAAAATTATGTTGGGCAGGAATTCGACCCGTGGACTTCTAGGCTGACGGGAAAGCCTTCATGGTTCCATTCAGAAAGTAGTTTAGCAGATTCGGAAACCAGTTCTGAAAACAGCGTGCTAAGATACAACTCACAGTGCACATCTCATCTTGAATGGCCATGGTGAGTTGGTACCTTGCTATCTATCTATTTATCTTCTATTGGTCAGACACACCATTCGCATGAAACTGCATACGTTTGTAACGGCGCATCCCCCCATGCTCATCCGTTAAAAATACCAAGTTTTAAAAGCGCTGCAGATAAGCGTCGACTAAGCGGTCCCCCCCTGGCGGTCCCCCTGGCGACTTCAGTATGCGCACGATTTGGCGCCAACAATAAAACCGGCTGTCGTCACGTGACATGATGAAAAAGAAATTGCGCGGTTCACTTCCATTTGTTGTTGTTGTTCATGCATTTTCCCGCCGCTCTCTCTCTCTCTTGCTCTCTGCTCTCTCTTGATCACATACCACATTCACCTCCAATTAAGGACAGACCCCGCGCTCGAACAATTAGTGGCCGTCCATCTTGTATGAGTAACTACCTAATAGCCAAAGGGAGTCCTTCTGCCTTAAGCAATTGAAAGTAGTAAAACCATTTAGTATTCTTTGCGCTTTACGTTGCCAAAATGTTTTTTTTGTTGTCATTCTGCGTGGTGTGATTTGTATGAGCGGTTTCGTCAGTCATAGTATTAGGGGGTAAACAGGAAATTGCCTTGTTCTCCTAAACGAAATGTTTCGATGAATTTTCAGCTTCATGTTTCAACTGATCAATACGTGCTAATTCATGACTGCTGATTGATTCGAGGTCATGTCATTTTGAGTTTTGAAAATATCACTTCAAGCTGTATTGGATTTTGCACTTGTGAGCTACTGATTTACATGCTCGTTGGGTATAAAGGTGGGTGATAAAGTGTTTTCAATGTGACTTGATAAGTTTTCTGGGATTTATCTCGTTTTACAACGTGTTTCATGCTTGCTTGCCGCTAACAATGGATTAAATCGTCGACAACTCGCCTTTTTGTTGATATTATCCAGGTTTGAGTTACGGGGACATCTTAGATTCTATTCGTATTGGTCTGGGAATGGGACAACCGTGGATGACTTTTAGGACAGCATAGGTTTTGATTACAATACCTCTTAGCAATAATGAAGAATCAGCCAATACCTGAGAGACTTGCTTACATGTCTTAGCAAAGTATTTGGACATCGCATGTGGACATGCAGGAGGGATCACGACATCTCAAGACAACAACAGTCTGAAATAGACGCTTATCATGTGAGTAAAGCGACATGTTATGTCAAAGGAAATTTTATCAGCAATTACACATTACTTCACGGCAATCGGCCTCCGTTAACTTCTGAACTATTAAGTCCCTCACACCCTTTAGAGGTTATGCTTACAACAAGCAACTTACTGACCTGTTCATAAAGCGCCATTATACTATAGCCCTGAGTGAGGATTATTAGTTAATCGGCTCTTCTGGGGGAATGTTTGGAGCTTAATCATTGAAATGTTCTGTCACGTTCAAATTACCGTTATCGGTGTTACGAAGTAATGTCTTTCAACAATGCATCATGGAAAAGTGCAGCATGGCCAGCATGGTAGTACATCGTGGAAAGACACTCGCCGGTTGCTACCATAATCAGTGTCTCCGCGTGATGCAAATCCGCATGACATACTTGGAGAAGTATTGCAAATCAACAGATCTGGAGGATTTGCTCGATTACCTTGCGATCCGCGTCCCAAAGGAAGGAGAACTAAATGATGTTTTCCGGAGTTTAGGGTGTGAATCATACCAGGATCGTATGAGGTCAATATGTCAGGAGAAGAAATGTTACGGGTTCTTAGACATGTACTCCGATGAACAGGCCATGACAGTCACACAGCTTGAACTCCAAGAAAAATTCGTTGCCCTCCGGCAAGTGCAAAAAGCTGATCCGCGACATCGAATACTTAACATATGCTTTTTCATGAAATTATAAGTAGGATCCTTGACTCCATCTGTGGTATCAACTTGCATCCGAACGTACAAACGCACATGGCATACCAGAAGTTCCTAGTTCATGTAGTCGATAGAGCTCAGTCCTACTTCTGGAAAGGTCAAGCTGGTGGTACTGAGGGATTGAATCAAGACACATGGGTGTCTCTCAAGTAGCACAAACCAAGCCCGTTTGGGTGGATTAGATCAGCACTATCTATTATGTAAAGTAAAGACGTAACAATATATTTTTCCACTGCGTTTTGCCTGTTTCTTTAATTTTGCCCCCAAATGAGGTGTGAAAGTGGATCTATGTACTCTTACTCTATTCGAGAAGAAATCGTCGGTCGAATTGCGAACACCTTTGATGAACCAGGACAGGAAGGAGGATTTTATTGGTCTGAAACTTACTACGTTTTTAAGGGTCGCCACAAGAAGAATGGTTGAATTACCTCAATTATCGAAGAAAATTGAGGCATCGATGGCGGCATTGATGCCCTCTCCATGAATTTCAATGGCAACTCGCATTAGCATGTGCTGAGGACGTTCCGCAACCTGAAACATGGGACAGTTTGCAAAAAAAAATGAGAAGACCATCAAAGAAACATTCAAAACCTTAGCTATAAAGCAAACTAACCTCCTTGTTGATCTTCAAGAGATAAGAACGTTCAAGAGTTTTGAAGCCGAAGTAGGTGTACGAAAAGTCGTGATCATAAACAATGGCCGAGTTGAGCCTCCAAATCGCATTCAGTATTAAATTCAACCTATTAGAAGGGAAAAAGAGTTGGAAATACAAAAGCCTCACATCCGCATGCCTCATGATGATGTCGTATGTTTCCTCACTGATCACTGGGGAGTGCTCTCCTGTTAAAGGGTGATGGAAATTGTACAGTTTTCCCATAACCTCGGAAAACACCTGAACGAATAACTCAAAACTTAACAACACAATAAGTTTGGCAGAGGCTTGCTATTTGATATTGACTTGCAGGCAGAGCCCGCGATTTCAGGTAAGTGGGTACTGACGCTTAAATACGAACGACAAGGTACTGAGAAATTGAATAGCGAAGAAAACAGATAATTGAGAGGCCACTAACATCAAATCAATCAATCAAACATCAACAAAAAGATAAAGGAAACATGCTGAGAGAATTCGCACAAACTAAAAAACGCGATGCTTTCCAGAAATATATCTGATAATATTCGCAGCGCAGATTGTTACTGTAGGGATCATGGCTGTTAACAGACATATTGAACTCGTTGAATAAACAACATCTTACACATCGACGAACCAGTAAAATGAAATGTAATGAAAAACTGAACCAGTTAAATGGGATGAAATGAAATGAAATCGGTTCTATCAGCTGTTTCCCACCAAGGACAACCCACCAACCAACGATCCCTACGCCTGCGTTCACTGATGTGTCGTCAGTTATTAGCCCGTCCCCTCCACACGCAGCGGTGGGCGGTGCCAATGGAATAGGGTTGGGCCAATGAGAGGAACGGCGGCGCCCTCGGTCTCCTCACTCGCTTTCGCGCCGTGGCAATAGTGCAATTGCTGCCCTTGCGGACCCCGCTACCTGCTCGCGAAGTTGGAGGGACCTCGCCAGTGAACGCGGACGCTGCCTTTAAGCAATGAGGTAGCAAATACT